GGCCTGGATGAATAGGTGAGGTCTTCTGTTCCCTTATAAAGGGGTTGGGGCTGCAATGATAGCGGGAAGGAATCAACTCTATTAATGCATTGAAGGTTTTTGAAAGCTGAATCTTTCTTTAACATAGATGGCTTCCTTCCTCTCAAACCACCTGTCTTCTTTGTCCAAAATGTGAACATTCTGGTCCTCCAAAGAATGTCCTTTGTCCATCAGGTGTAGATGATGCAGTCTTGTCCAGAGGAGGGCGCTCTTCTTTGTTGGGCCATGCATCTGTGGAGAGGTTGTTTGGTTTCTCCAAAGTAAAGATCAGAGCATTCCTCACTATATTGAGCTGCAGACACCACTCCACTCAGACCAAAGATGAAAAAGGTGGTTTGAGAGGAGCGTGAAGGAAACCTGGAACTCAACGCTATATCTGACATTTTGAATTGAAAAAGCTTCTTCAAACTTGGAAACAAAGTCCAGTGGATTCGTTTTAATTTTTTTTTTTTTGTGGAAAATTGCTAATTGTCTGACTTTTCTGTATTTAACTGCAACTTTGGAGAAAAAAAAAACTAACATTTACAGCAGAGCTCAATGCAGCCTTTATGTAGTGATCAACATCAATCTGACTTTACAGATTAACTGAAATAGTAAGGATGTTTTAAAAAAGGCATCTTCAGCTAAATGTCTATTTTTATTTACATTTAATCTAGGACTTGCAGCCCAGACAACTTTTATTTTTTTTATTCAGGGTTTCCTGCAGTGACCTGCTTCCAGCGAACGTTCCTCCGTCCTTTCGGAGTGAAGAAACGATATGAAGAACATTTTGTCCTTGATGTCAACACAAAGGTTTAGATTTCTCATCAAATTCCTTAAACTTACACTAATCTACTTTACTAACTCTTAGAAAATTAACACAATCAAGAGAACCGGATATTTGGATTTATTGTTGGTAGATTTTACCACCGACGTGAGACATGTTTACAACCGAAACAATTCTACAAAGTCAAATGACCATTTTGTTAAAAAAGAAGGAACTAGAAGCTTTATTGGTGATGATGGTGCCCTAAAAAACACCCAATCAGAAGCCAGGATCAGGCACAGGAAACAAAACAACAGCAGAGATTTAAGTTAATTATCTTCATCCCCCATTTCCACATCTTCTTGTAACCTCTGCACCATTTTGTCTTCCAACTGTTTTGCTTTGCCTGCAAATAAAAAATAAAAATGAAACAGATTCAGTTTAGTTTCTAAATATGCAGCATCGTGTCTTCCAGTTAAATCCACAGAAGCTGCAGCTTTACCTGCATGTGGAGCTTTGATGAGGCAAATGTTCTTCTTCACTTCGTTGATGGCTTCTTCCTTCTCCAGCTGTTTGGCTTTCTTTAATCTGCAGGAAGGAAACAACAATAATCTATGTTAAAGCAAATATTTTTAAATAACAGCTACAATAAGGAAACTAAATGAAAATCAACCTCTTACCTGTTCATGATGAATCTTGCCTGTCGTTTCACTTTTATTTCCTCAACCTTTTTCATTGCCTCCACTGAAAAAAGTAGCAAAACATCAGATCATTATTATCCTGCTATAAAAATAAACACTAAATCTACATCTTTCAAAGTGTCGGGCCGATGTCACACTGCTGATTCAGCAGTGTGACATTTACTGTTGCGTATTCAGACTATTTATAACGAGTCCAGAACTTATGTCCAACGACAGCCGAACTCAGGGGTCGACAATCCAAACTGCTCAAAGAGCTTAAATATATAATAAGCATTAATGATTAAATGTTTCTCCTGGAGCAAATGTCACATAGCTGCACGTTGCATGCCGCTTCACCGTGCGGTTTAGGTTTTCAGGGTTCCCACGGGTCCATAAAAAGTCTTAAAAGGCATTGAATTCTTCAAAATAAAACTAAGGCCTTAAATGGTATTAAAATGTCTTAAATCAGTCTTTCGTAGGTCTTAATTTTTAAAACATCATAAATAGGATTATTTTTATTACGATTTATTTTTGTAATCTAAATAAAACGTTAAAATTTACAATTCTTTTTTTATTTAAAATAAAATAA